CATGGAATCGTCCACAATTGCCCTAACAATTAAGAAGCATCTCCTGACGACATTATCGAGCACAAGAGTTATGCCAAAATGTTTCGAGTGCACAGAAACCACTGTCGAAAAAATGCAAAGGAGAACACGCATCAAGGATCAAACCCTCGACCATGTTCATAGAACGTACGAGTTATCCACTTGGCTACCCGCTCCGAGGCAGAGAGTCTTACGACTCTAATTCGCACTGAATGTCAGTATGCTCCCTCTAAAAAGGCCCGTTTCTTTGCTCTAGGGAGGTCTGAAGCGGTTTAGAAGACGGTTTCGTAACCCCGTCCAAAGACTTCCAGTCGGTGTGCATTCCATTCCAAATGACCACTTCGACCTACCAACTTTCCCTTGTAAGCTTCCCTCCTCTTGTACGAAGTCTCCAATACTTTCACACAAGCGATTAGCAACCCATAGAAGTGTTTTTGCAGTTCAAACTAACATCCTGGACCCAAACCTCTCACGCGTCATGAGAGCTGATGCTGAGAGGATAGTCTTTATTTCAGCAATAAACTAACAATAAAGTACAATACGAACGGGTTATACAATCGCCAGCTAATAGGGTGATGTGGACGCTATAACCAATATTTGAATAATGAATTTGATAGTGTAGTCTGGAGGTGCTATTGTCCAGTGCGCGTATAAAAGACCAGCCGGACTCAATAAGGTACCATATTTTCGATTAGGACACGCTCAGGAGACTCCTGCGATGTTCGCGGCAATGATTACGGTAAGTTTGAATCTAGACACCTAATGCTCGTGCTATTTTACAAAATTTCCAGTTTCAAATCCTACTGCTGAGCCTTTGCGGCTTATGTGCTGGATATAATGCGTATCTAGACACACGTACGTTTAACATTTTTTTATCGAAAGAGATGCTTATGTAAAAATGACACAATTTTCGGTCCAGGGCGTGAAACTGCCACCCTTTGGCCATCTCACGGCCCTTAATTATGGTCTGCTTGACGTGAGAAGAGCCAACATTCGAGGTAGTGGATCGACAGAGCGCGTTCATGTTCAGGGAGAAAGAGCGGGGTGGGTAAAATGGTTGACGACTAGCTACTATCTTCCCAAATTCTTCCACCTCTAACAATTTCCCGAAATTTCAACCAGGTTCCCCAAACTGCACTGTACTGAACG